AATTCATGCATATAGATCCGTTCTCTGTATGATTTTTCTAGATCAACATTTAAAATCAAAATCTATAAATGTTAAAACCTTATTCAGTACGTATGAAAACTGTTTACAGATCATGATAATTGATCTGCTACTATAATTGCTGAAGTTATAGCATATGCACTTATAAAAATTCCAGACATGTTTCTATATTGGAAATAAGTTGTACTTTATGGATTCAGATTAAAATAAATACAATTTTTTCTACATTTGTAATAGTGGTTAAATGTAGTACTGGGTGAATGATGGTGACAATTTTCAGTATGGAAATCGCACTCCATAGTTGTGCATTTGGGAGTGGGTTGAGTATGTTTTCTATCGTATACATGTACAATCAGAAATATTAATAGAAAATACAAATTTGATGTTAGTTTACTAATTGAGCAAGATTTAAAGTGCCTGTGCAATGCCCACCCTCACGTTTCCCATTTTTGATCTGTGTCCCACTGAAATGGGCAGCTATTGATTTTTTTGCTGAAAATGATTACACGTATCCAAGTAAATTTCGGATATTTCTCGTGTTGTAGCCACGCCCACCTATCCTGAAGCGGTCAACTGTTTCCGGATTTCCGATTCTCGCCGAAAGTGCGCCACCAAATGCCAAAATATGAGAGTCATAGCCCTGAGCCGTAATAACACCGGTCATTCAGTATACTTTTAAACGATATACGTTTTTCAGTCGGCAGTTTTTTTCTTTTTTTGTCTATTTTCTTTTTTTTGAGAGGAGTATTTAGATGTTGTGTTGTGGGCAGTTGCAGTGAAACGTATAGTCATAGTGTAAGTATTCACACGTTTCTAATCGATCTGAAGGTGCGACATCAGTGGACGAAAGCCACTTAACCTCAGATTCCTTTTTTTGGAAAAACTGTCCTCGTCCATGAAAAAACAACTAGGTTTAAAGAGAAACGCCGACAACATAAATCTGGCGCAACACTTTTGAAAGAAAAATATATTCCGGACTATGATCACCGAGGCGGATTTCAGAAGAGAGAGAGACGTCCGGCAAGTGTTTCAAATGAGTTGACTATTTTTGCGATCGTGATTATCGTTTTATAGAGACCATTTAGTCCCTGTTAAGTAAAAGGTAGCAATAATTTTGACAGTGACACGAAAACGAAGCGTCGGACAAACAGGAAATTACACAGCCCTTACACACTGCTAATTGTTTTCATTTTCGAAGGCTAAAAGT